GCTCAAACATCTCTATAGGAACATCTCTACAAGTAGCTCAAACATCTCTACAGGAAAAAAATAATAATCCAAGTAAAAATTGCCAAAATATCTGAATAGACATTAATTAAAAGAAGACATACAAATGGCAAACAGGCATATGAAAGGTGCTTGGTGTCACTGATCATCAGAGACATGCAAATCAAAAAGACAGTAAGATTAGTCTTACTCTAGTTAAAAAGGCTTTTATCCAAAAACAGACAATAAAACATGCTGGTGAGGATGTGGAAAAAAGGAAACCTCATATACTGTTGGTGGAAATGTAAATTAGTACAACTACTATGGAGAACAGTTTGGAGGCTCCTCAAAAAACTAAAAACAGAACTACCACATGATCCAGGAATTTCACTGCTACGTATATACCCAAAGGAAAGAAAATAGTATACTGAAGAGGTATTTGCATTCCCATATTTATTGCAGCACTATATATAATAGCCAAAAACTGGAAGCATCCTAAGTGTCCATCAACAGATGAATGGATAAAGAAAGTGTGGCATATCACACAATGGAGGTCTATTCAGCCATAAATAGGAACGAGATCGAGGCACTTGCAACAACATGGATGCAACTGGAGGTCATTGTGTTAAGTGAAACAAGCCAGGCATGGAAAGAAAAACTTTGTATATTGCCAGTTATTTGTGGGAGCTACAAAAAATGAAAACAACTGAACTCATGGATATAGAGAATGATGATTATCTGAAGCTGGGAAGGCTAGTGTGGGTGAGGGGAATTGGGGGTGGTTAATGGATACAAAAATGTAGTTAGAAAAAATAAGATTTAGTATTTGAGAGCACAGCAGTGTGGCCACAGTTAAAAATAATTTATTATACATTTAAAAATACTGAAAAGATGATGACTGGATTGTTTATAACACAAAGAAAGGATAAATGCTGAACGTAATGGACACGTCATTTACCCCTATGTGATTATTAGGTCTTGTACACCTGTATCAAAATATCTCATGTACCCCATAACTATAGGAACCTACTAGGTAGCCACAAAAATTAAAATTTAAAAAAATTGTTATTTTTATTATTCTGCTCAGGTTCTCAAATACATGAATGCAAGTATCAGGTAGGACAGTGTGGGCCTTCCCTTTTTATATACAATTATATAAATCATGTGTATGTGCATAAAATAGCTGTCTAAACTAGGGGGGTTGGAGCCAGCTCCTTAACAAAAATAGTTCACAGAACATCAACATCAGATTTGATGAGGTGAGTTCATACTTGTAACTAAACAAAATGAAAACGAGACTACTTTCTCATTATGTTTAAGCAGATAGAAAAAAAGATCACTGTACAAATCACAAAAGCGATCAAACATTATCCTCACCCAGGTAACACTAGTGACTGGTGCTTCTTTACCACTCACATCTTTAGCCTTCCTCCATTGCTCTTTCTTTCTGGATAAAATTAGGAAGATAATCATATAAGTTTGAGATAAGGTATGGGTACGCAAAGGCATATAGAGTTGTATAAAGGACAATTGGAGACTCAGAGAGAGGACGGGAGTGTATGAGGGACTGAAAACTATCTATTGGGTACGAGGTACACTAATCACGTGATGAGTGTGCAAAATTATCAGACTTCACCCCTCTTTCAAGTCATCCACATTACCAACAACCACATACACCCCAGAAGCAATTGAAATTTATCGGGTATCTCAAAATAGCTAGAAGAGAGAATTGTAATGCTCCTAACACAAAGAAAAAATAAATATTTGAGGTGATGGATATCTTAATTACCCTTATTTTGTTATTATACGTTGTATACATGTATCAGAATATCACATGTACCCCCAATGTATGTACCACTATGATATATTAATAAAAGAAAAAAAAAGAACAGATATATATTAATGTTTGCTCAAGATGGATGGTGGATACACAAGAGCTCATTACCCAATTTTACTTTACTTACTTTATTGTACACCTAAAAAATTCTGTAATAAATATTGTAAATTTTTTTTAAAATCCATGACTCAATTAAAAAAAAATGTTCTGCAGGTGCCAAAAGTCAAAGGAGGACATAGGAGCTGGAATCTGGGATTGAGTTGGCAGTCACGCTTTCCACCTTAGGCTGAGAATTTGTGTAGGTAATTTTCAAAGACTGAAGCCGATACGCTTATTTATTGCAAACACAAAAGACAAAGTTTCTTCTAATAAACACAAATTTAAAAGGGGCGGATTAGAATATGAGTAACAAAGAAGAATAATTATTCTGCGTGGAATAGGGGTGTAAATGGATTACTAACCCACCAGGCCAGCTCAGAAGAATAAATCTCAGAGTTTTTGGCAGCTGCAAGGCTGTGATCCTGTAAATATTCACACATTTTTAAAACAAACGCCATTGTTACAAGAGCAAAAGAATGAAGTGCATATGCCACGTAGGTGTATCAGTCAGTAAACAGCCGAAAAGCTGTCAGAGAAACAGAGACCATACAAGCAGTCCAAGAGAAGGAATTTAATACAGGGAACCACTTACAAGTGTATTGTAAGTGCTCAAAAGTCAACAGGTGAAGGAAGCTGCTACCTTCCTTAGGACCGAGAGGACAAAGGGTATTGCCTCTAGAGGCTAGAAAACAGGGATGTCTTACAAGAGCTAGTCTACACAGACCCCAGACAGATATTACTCAAAAGCAGACAGAGAGGGAAATAAATACCCTGTGTTTTTCCTTCCTATCTCTTTCCTAACTCCCAGTAAGGTCTCCTATTAGGAGTACCTATTCGGCAGTCAGTTAGCAGGGGAGCCTGGAGAGGTAGATGTCAAGGATTGGCCACTGAATGCATCTGCGAGTAAAGGAGCCAAAGTCCAGCAGAACAGGCAGTTGCCAAAGAAACTTAAGGAATATAAAGAACTGTACCGCTCATTTCATTCAGCATAAAAGGGAACCCCCAATACCAAAGAGATGACACCAATATTAGTTTTAGACAGAGTACCATTTGGAAACGCCACCCAGTTATGTCCCACAATGAAAAAGGCACAACTAAGGTTGAAAATCCCCCAACATAACCACAGTTCTTCCAATATGTGAGAAGGCATAAAGGAAACCCACTTTTAGTGCCTATTCCACTCCTGAATTTGACACACCTGTAAGTATTCAAAGAGAAAACATTGAGAAATGTATATGAAATAGTCAACACTTTAATTTGGCTAGCGTATTTAAAATGACACAGATACCATCCAATATGTTAATACTTTTATAAAAATAAAGGTAATTTTATTAAGGACCACCGTGTTTTCACTTTTCTCATTTATTGCATCATGTGAAGACTTTTCCAAGACCAGCACAGATTCACAAAATAATAACATGAGATTATCTCACTGGGAAGTTCCCCAAACAATATTATTGACTTGTAAAATTAAGTAAGTTCTGGGAAAAGAACATAGAATTCTAGAAACAACAAATTCATATATTCTTGCACAGTATAATCTCTGGGTTTTGCTTTTCTTAGATCATAAAGATTAAATTAAAACGTCTCCTAGGACTTTTTCAAAGTAGGTGCAGAGATATGAGTAGTGACTTGCTCAATTCAATCCCTAGAAAGTCTGACAATAGAAATCAGAAATTCCACCAATTCATACCTAACTGTACATTTTCAGGTTCTGTTCAATCTGTAGGAAGTACATGAAACATGGATATTTAAAGCAATTTCTGTTTACGGGGGCCACTGCCCCTCTTTTGCGCCACCTGCTTTCTTGGTTCACAGTCATCAAGCAATACATCCTTTTAAGTTACCAGAACCTATAGCATCCACACAAAGCTGAAGCCAATAGAAGCAAAGCCATCACGTCAACGTCTTCTTTTTACTGACATCAATTTAATGTCAAAATAGGTACTAGGATAAAATATTGCATAGTGGTAGAATTTATATTTCTTATTAATTTTCTTTACTGCTGTTTATTGACAAATGTCAATTTGCAATTGCAAAAAGAAAAATGATTAAAAAGAACATACAAAAAGAGTTCTCACATCACGCTGCTATTGGAGTAAGTTAGCACCATGCTAAATTTCAACAAACAGTTAATCAAGTAAGAGGAGTGAGGAGTGAATATAAACCATTTATAAAGTGCCTTCCTACAATTACTGCAAAAGCTGAAGTGACCTGAAAAGTCACTTGGTTAGAGGTAATTCTAAACAAAGGAAAATGAGTTTTTAAATTCTTGGTCTCATGACTAGTAGGTGATTCGAATTCACACTGGACTCAGCTTTTAGAGTCCCAAGTTAGTGTTCTCTGACCATGTGGCTTCAAAAAGCAGAAGACTTGACCACACAGAAGCCCATGTGGTCACAGTGTGTCTCCTGTAAAAATGCTCACTAACAGAAAAGATCTGGTTTTCTTTACACAGAGATAGAACATCACTCTGCTGGCTTAACTTACCCTTTAGGCAAATAACATTCAGTATTAATTGACCTGTGTAGAGGTTGTTAATCAGCCTGAATAATTAGGCAAAAAAGTGATTCTTTGTAAAATTAGTACCTTTCCTAAATATATTGGTGCATAAACTCATAGAGAGAGATACCATGTACCACAGATTCATGCAAATACACATGGGTGCCTATACAATTTTCTAGAATAAAAAGAACAGAAGAGAATATTTTGTTAAATAAAAACAAGGCAAAATTAACTTCCAGTAGTTGCTGGATTAATTTTATCTATGCTATTCACCGTGGAGGGCTTTGAACACGGAACCTCAGCATCTTTCAAGCTCCTACCTTCCTGTCACCATCACCTTCACACAGCCCTGACCTCAAACTTGATGGAGATAAAAGTAGCCAGTGATGAACGAACTGTACAGCCCTTTGTCAAGAGAGGACACATTTGAGGTGAGGACAGACAAGAGCCCAAACACTTCCGTACTTGCCCAGCAAAAGAAAACAGAAAAAGAAAAAAAAATAAGCTCAAGCGCACTTCAAGGAAAACAAGCATGTTAAGTTTCTTAAAACGAGCCTATTACCTGATGTGGCTGTGAACTGGACCATCTGCTATAGGAAGGAGCACCTGAAGACTTGGCTGAAGTTCTCTGAGGGGGGAAAAAAAAATTCCTGCTGTCATACAAGCGGAATACACTTTATGTTTCTCTAAACAAATTATTTACTCAGTGTCTACAGCTTCAAGAAAGAACACATCTTAAATTCTGTCTGAACTTAATCTTTCTCTTTTATTTCTTTTAAAACATATTCTCCTCAGCAAGTATGGTAACATGGATATTAGCGTCAAAATACAGGCAGCCAAGTCTCAGTTTGTATAAGCTATTTGATGTGGTGCAAGTCACCGAAGCTCTGTCTCAGTTTTTCTTGTATGACACTGGAATAATAATTTTTTGAGATGGAGTCTCACTTTGTCACCAGGCTGGAGTGCAGTGGCACGATCTCGGCTCACTGCAACCCCTGTCTCCTGGGTTCAAGTTGATTCTCCTGCCCCAGCCTCCCAAGTAGCTGGGACTACAGGTGCACACCACCACATCTGGCTAATTATTTTATTTTATTTTATTTTAGTGGAGACGAGGTTTCATCATGTTGTTCAGGATGGTCACTATGTCCTGAACTTATGATCCACCCACCTCAGCCTCCTCTCAAAGTGCTGGGATTACAGTGTCTGGCCAGAATAATAACTTTTATATCACAGGATTCTTGTGAGGCTCAAATATAATAGATATGAAGCACTTGGTAAAGAGCTATGCACTTATAAAGTATTAATTCAACAAGCAGGAAGCAAGCCACATAAGTTCCCACTTGAAACAAAACTGGTATTCAAATGTGCAAGTTAATAAACGAGGTTATTTGAGAGTCAGTTATTTTTGTCATAAAGAGATCCTTCATCTCAGGAAAGACCTGACTACATCATGGCTACCACATTTGTGGGCTTCTAAAACGCCACAAGCTCATGTAGACAAGCTCACCTAAAACCATTCTTGACACCATTTTTCTGTGTCTGCTTCCATCACAGAAACTAGAAAGCTGACTTTCTCAGCGTTTCATCTCTCTAGGAATGGTAACATGGCACAGCTCTGGTCAATGAGACATGAATATAATTCTTCTGGGGGGAATTCTAGAAAACTCTCTTTTCCTGGTGAAAGGGAAAGGAGAAGGCATGTACCATCCCATCACTCTTCTGCCTCTATAAATGCTGATATGCTCCATGGAGCTAGAGCAATCATTCTGTAACCACGAGGAAAAAGCCAAGAGCAGAGCAGACAGGCTGCCCCTAATCTTGTTGAGCAGCTGAAGCAAAGCTTCAGGCTGGTACTTTTGCCTAAATCCTCCCTGGATAAATGACCATAATCACATCTTCTGTTACTTGCAGAGTTTAATGATATACTCTCCTCTCTCATTCAAATTAACAGTCAAATTATAGGAATTTGATTCGTCAGAAACTTGTGAGTGCTTTAGGCAGAAAAGAACAGAATGAAAGAGGCATGAAGATGTGAAAGCGATTGGTGTGCTTGGAAAATGATCAGTAGAGCAATACCAACTGCCAATTCTTGTATTCACCATCACTGTGTTCCATCTGCCTTTCAGGATTCCTATGCGATTCTGTGCTGGCCTTTGCTGATTCTGACAGCTTTCCTGAAACTCTGCCACAGAGAGGTTGGCATGGTGGATTAATGCCGTGTTCCGCCAGCTCAGTTCGACTTTCCTCTAGCATCTGCCCATCTGAGAAGGCAGGGCTGGGTTTAACACTCAGGCCTTCCCAATCCCTCCTACTCCACTGAGGTTAATGAGATTGGACCCTAGAACTAAGTGTGAGAAAGCATTTTGGTTTTTAACGTAGATAAAGGAAGAACTAACAAGGTAGTAGCTAGAAGTTAAACCAAAAGATTAACCATATTTCATTAGTGAGATACAACATGAATGAACTTCAAATTTATCAGACTCTACCGCTAAATGATCATGTACCTTCTTGGATATTCATTTACCTAATTGTGAAATAAGGTTAAATTAAATGGTCTTCATGCCCAGCACCAAATCTGTACAATTTAATTATTTTTCACTTTTAGAGTGATTAAATGATTACTAATACAGTGACAATAGTGAATTTCCATGGAAATAGTAGATTCCTTTCAATTTTTTTTTTATTATTATACTACAGGTTCTTAGATACATGTGCAGGATGTGCAGGCTTGTTACATAGTTATACACGTGCCATGGCGGTTTGCTGCACCCATCAACCCATCATCTACATTAGGCATTTCTCCTAATGCTATTTCTCCCCTAGCTCCCCAACCCCAAAATTCCCCAGTGTGTGATATTCCCCTCCCTGTGCCTATGTGTTCGCATTGTTCAACTCCCACTTACGAGGGAGAACATGCGGTATTTGGTTTTCTGTTCCTGAGTGAGTTTGCTGAGAATGATGGTTTCCAGCTTCATCCATGTCCCTGCAAAGGACACGAACTCATCATTTTTTATGGCTGCATAGTACTCCATGGAGTATATGTGCCACATTTTCTTTAACCAGTCTATTAGTGATGGGCATTTGGGTTGGTTCCAAGTCTTCCATGTTGTGTATAGTGCTTCAATAAATATGCTTGTGCATGTGTCTTTATACTAAAATGATTTATAATCCTGAGTATATACCCAGGAATGGGATTGCTGGGTCAAATAATATTTCTGTTTCTTGATCCTTGGGGAATTGCCACACTATCTTCCCCAATGGTTTAACTAATTTACACTTCCACCAACAGTGTAACAGTGTTCGTATTTCTCCACATCCTCTCCAGATTCTGTTGTTTCCTGACTTTTAACAATCGCCATTCTAAATGGCATGTGGTTTTGATTTGCATTTCTCTAATGACCAGTGATGATGAGCTTCTTTTCACATTTCCTGGCCACATAAATGTCTTTGAGAAGTGTCTGCTTATATCCTTTGCCAACTTTTTGATGGGGTTGTTTCTTGTAAATTTGTTTAAGTTCCCTATAGATTCTAGATATTAGCCCTTTGTCAGATGGATAGATTGCAAAAATTTTCTTTCACTCTGTAGGTTGCCTATTCACTCTAATGATAGTTTCTTTTGCTGTGCAGAAGCTCTTTAATAGATCTCATTTGTCAATTTTGGCTTGTGTTGTCATTGCTTTTGGTATTTTAGTCATGAAGTCTTTGCCCATGTCTATATCCTGAATGATATTGCCTGGGTTTTCTTCGAGTGTTTATGATTTTACGTCTTATGTTTAAATCTTTAATCCATCTTGAGTTAATTTTTGCATAAAGTGTAAGGAAAGGGTCCAGTTTCAGTTTTCTGCATATGGCTAGCCAGTTTGCCCAACACCATTTATTAAATAGGGAATTCTTTCCCCATTGGTTTTGTCAGGTTTCTCAAAGATCACATGGGTGTAGATATGTGGCATTATTTTTGAGGCTCTATTCTGTTCCATTGATCTATATATCTGTTATGGTACCAGTATCATGCTGTTTTGGTTATCATGGCCTTGTAGTGTAGTTTGAAGTCAGGAAGTGTGATCATTCCAGTTTTGTTCCTTTTGCTTAGGATTGTCTTGGCTGTACAGGCTCTTTTTTGGTCCCATATGAAGTTTAAAGTGGTTTTGTCTAATTCTGTTAAGAAAGTCAATGGTAGCTTGATGGGGACAGCACTGAATCTGTAAACTACTTTTGACAGTATGGTCATTTTCATGACATTGATTCTTCCTATCCACGAACATGGAATGTTTTTCCATTTGTGTCCTCTCTGATTTCCTTGAGCAGTGGTTTGTAGTTCTCCTTGAAGAGGTCCTTCACATGCCTTGTAAGTTGTATTCCTTGGTATTTTATTCTCTTTGTAGCAATTGAGAATGAGAGTTCACTCATGATTTGGCTTTCTATTATTGGTATATAGGAATTCTTGTGATTTTTGCACATTGATTTTATATCCTGAGATTTTGCTGAAGTGGCTTATTAGCTTAAGGAGATTTTGGGCTGAGACTATGGGGTTTTCTAAATATACAATCGTCATCTGAAAACAGAGACAACTTGACTTCCTCTCTTCCTATTTGAATATCCTTTATTTCTTTCTCTTGCTGGATTGCCCTGGCCAGAACTTCCAATACTATGTTGAATAGCAGTGGTGAGAGAGGGCATCCTTGTCCTATGTCGGATTTCAACGGGAATGTTCCAGCTTTTGACCATTCAGTATGATATTGGCTGTGGGTCTGTCATAAATAGCTATTAATATTTTGAGATACATTCCATCAATACCTAGTTTATTGAGAGTTTTTAGCATGAAGGGGTATTGAATTTTATCAAAGCCTTTCTGCATCCAGTGAGACAATCATGTGATTTTTGTCACTGGTTCTGTTTATGGGAGGGATTACGTTTATTGATTAGTGTATGTTGAACCAGCCTTCCATCCCAGGGATATTGTTTTTAAAAATACCAAAGAAATGTGTTCTTAAATCTCAGTTAACTACAGAACGTTAATAATTCAAAATAACCCCTTAATTGCCTATTTTATCGATTCCAGCTTCCCTGAACCCTTAGAAAGGGACTGTGAGCTGGTTTTCTAGCCTGATCATCTTGGCTTTAGCAAAGACTCTGTCTCTAAATCATAAGATTTTGGAATTCACTATCAGACTAATTTTTGAGGCATCAAGTTTTGAGAACATACCTCATTATTGTTTAAAGCCACACTATGAATTTCTGAAATTGTAACTATAAATTTTACCTGAACTATCAGGAAAAACAAAGTTTTGGTTTCTTTAAATCAAAATAAAATTATGGCAATCAAAGTCAAGATACAATCACTGACATTCAAAACATATTTTAAAGAAAAGTCAGATGTGTGGCCTGCAGTGTATGATCCAAGTTATCAAGTAATCTTGAAATGGGAAGTTCAAAAGATGGACACTTGTGGATTTGATTGCACTAATAGCTCAATATGAAATGCACACCTGTCTCTCCTAAGAAGGGTCACCATACTTCCATGCTCACACGCAACTTTTTTTTAAAGGTCACACTGCATTTCAGCATTGACTCAAGTATAATTAACTTTATAATGGCAATTGCATCTACTGTCATTCACACACTTCATGT